GCAGCACTCGTGGGACTGTGGCGTGGCGTGCCTAACGCTCCCACCTTGTCTCCCTCCCTGCTCCACAGTTCATGATTCTCCTCACCCCACGTCTTTCCCTCTCTCCCTCCCTGCATACCATGCATCAGGTGCCGCACGTGAGGCAGCAGCACTCGTGGGACTGTGGCGTGGCGTGCCTAACGCTCCCACCTTGTCTCACTCCCTGCTCCACAGTTCATGATTCTCCTCACCCCACGTGTTTCCCTCTCTCCCTCCCTGCATACCATGCATCAGGTGCCGCACGTGAGGCAGCAGCACTCGTGGGACTGTGGCGTGGCGTGCCTAACGCTCCCACCTTGTCTCCCTCCCTGCTCCACAGTTCATGATTCTCCTCACCCCACGTCTTTCCCTCTCTCCCTCCCTGCATACCATGCATCAGGTGCCGCACGTGAGGCAGCAGCACTCGTGGGACTGTGGCGTGGCGTGCCTAACGCTCCCACCTTGTCTCCCTCCCTGCTCCACAGTTCATGATTCTCCTCACCCCACGTGTTTCCCTCTCTCCCTCCCTGCATACCATGCATCAGGTGCCGCACGTGAGGCAGCAGCACTCGTGGGACTGTGGCGTGGCGTGCCTAACGCTCCCACCTTGTCTCCCTCCCTGCTCCACAGTTCATGATTCTCCTCACCCCACGTCTTTCCCTCTCTCCCTCCCTGCATACCATGCATCAGGTGCCGCACGTGAGGCAGCAGCACTCGTGGGACTGTGGCGTGGCGTGCCTAACGCTCCCACCTTGTCTCCCTCCCTGCTCCACAGTTCATGATTCTCCTCACCCCACGTCTTTCCCTCTCTCCCTCCCTGCATACCATGCATCAGGTGCCGCACGTGAGGCAGCAGCACTCGTGGGACTGTGGCGTGGCGTGCCTAACGCTCCCACCTTGTCTCCCTCCCTGCTCCACAGTTCATGATTCTCCTCACCCCACGTCGTTCCCTCTCTCCCTCCCTGCATACCATGCATCAGGTGCCGCACGTGAGGCAGCAGCACTCGTGGGACTGTGGCGTGGCGTGCCTAACGCTCCCACCTTGTCTCCCTCCCTGCTCCACAGTTCATGATTCTCCTCACCCCACGTCTTTCCCTCTCTCCCTCCCTGCATACCATGCATCAGGTGCCGCACGTGAGGCAGCAGCACTCGTGGGACTGTGGCGTGGCGTGCCTAACGCTCCCACCTTGTCTCCCTCCCTGCTCCACAGTTCATGATTCTCCTCACCCCACGTCTTTCCCTCTCTCCCTCCCTGCATACCATGCATCAGGTGCCGCACGTGAGGCAGCAGCACTCGTGGGACTGTGGCGTGGCGTGCCTAACGCTCCCACCTTGTCTCCCTCCCTGCTCCACAGTTCATGATTCTCCTCACCCCACGTCTTTCCCTCTCTCCCTCCCTGCATACCATGCATCAGGTGCCGCACGTGAGGCAGCAGCACTCGTGGGACTGTGACGTGGCGTGCCTAACGCTCCCACCTTGTCTCCCTCCCTGCTCCACAGTTCATGATTCTCCTCACCCCACGTCTTTCCCTCTCTCCCTCCCTGCATACCATGCATCAGGTGCCGCACGTGAGGCAGCAGCACTCGTGGGACTGTGGCGTGGCGTGCCTAACGCTCCCACCTTGTCTCCCTCCCTGCTCCACAGTTCATGATTCTCCTCACCCCACGTCTTTCCCTCTCTCCCTCCCTGCATACCATGCATCAGGTGCCGCACGTGAGGCAGCAGCACTCGTGGGACTGTGGCGTGGCGTGCCTAACGCTCCCACCTTGTCTCCCTCCCTGCTCCACAGTTCATGATTCTCCTCACCCCACGTCTTTCCCTCTCTCCCTCCCTGCATACCATGCATCAGGTGCCGCACGTGAGGCAGCAGCACTCGTGGGACTGTGGCGTGGCGTGCCTAACGCTCCCACCTTGTCTCCCTCCCTGCTCCACAGTTCATGATTCTCCTCACCCCACGTCTTTCCCTCTCTCCCTCCCTGCATACCATGCATCAGGTGCCGCACGTGAGGCAGCAGCACTCGTGGGACTGTGGCGTGGCGTGCCTAACGCTCCCACCTTGTCTCACTCCCTGCTCCACAGTTCATGATTCTCCTCACCCCACGTCTTTCCCTCTCTCCCTCCCTGCATACCATGCATCAGGTGCCGCACGTGAGGCAGCAGCACTCGTGGGACTGTGGCGTGGCGTGCCTAACGCTCCCACCTTGTCTCCCTCCCTGCTCCACAGTTCATGATTCTCCTCACCCACGTGTTTCCCTCTCTCCCTCCCTGCATACCATGCATCAGGTGCCGCACGTGAGGCAGCAGCACTCGTGGGACTGTGGCGTGGCGTGCCTAACGCTCCCACCTTGTCTCCCTCCCTGCTCCACAGTTCATGATTCTCCTCACCCCACGTCTTTCCCTCTCTCCCTCCCTGCATACCATGCATCAGGTGCCGCACGTGAGGCAGCAGCACTCGTGGGACTGTGGCGTGGCGTGCCTAACGCTCCCACCTTGTCTCCCTCCCTGCTCCACAGTTCATGATTCTCCTCACCCCACGTCTTTCCCTCTCTCCCTCCCTGCATACCATGCATCAGGTGCCGCACGTGAGGCAGCAGCACTCGTGGGACTGTGGCGTGGCGTGCCTAACGCTCCCACCTTGTCTCCCTCCCTGCTCCACAGTTCATGATTCTCCTCACCCCACGTCTTTCCCTCTCTCCCTCCCTGCATACCATGCATCAGGTGCCGCACGTGAGGCAGCAGCACTCGTGGGACTGTGGCGTGGCGTGCCTAACGCTCCCACCTTGTCTCCCTCCCTGCTCCACAGTTCATGATTCTCCTCACCCCACGTCTTTCCCTCTCTCCCTCCCTGCATACCATGCATCAGGTGCCGCACGTGAGGCAGCAGCACTCGTGGGACTGTGGCGTGGCGTGCCTAACGCTCCCACCTTGTCTCCCTCCCTGCTCCACAGTTCATGATTCTCCTCACCCCACGTCTTTCCCTCTCTCCCTCCCTGCATACCATGCATCAGGTGCCGCACGTGAGGCAGCAGCACTCGTGGGACTGTGGCGTGGCGTGCCTAACGCTCCCACCTTGTCTCCCTCCCTGCTCCACAGTTCATGATTCTCCTCACCCCACGTCTTTCCCTCTCTCCCTCCCTGCATACCATGCATCAGGTGCCGCACGTGAGGCAGCAGCACTCGTGGGACTGTGGCGTGGCGTGCCTAACGCTCCCACCTTGTCTCCCTCCCTGCTCCACAGTTCATGATTCTCCTCACCCCACGTCTTTCCCTCTCTCCCTCCCTGCATACCATGCATCAGGTGCCGCACGTGAGGCAGCAGCACTCGTGGGACTGTGGCGTGGCGTGCCTAACGCTCCCACCTTGTCTCCCTCCCTGCTCCACAGTTCATGATTCTCCTCACCCCACGTCTTTCCCTCTCTCCCTCCCTGCATACCATGCATCAGGTGCCGCACGTGAGGCAGCAGCACTCGTGGGACTGTGGCGTGGCGTGCCTAACGCTCCCACCTTGTCTCCCTCCCTGCTCCACAGTTCATGATTCTCCTCACCCCACGTCTTTCCCTCTCTCCCTCCCTGCATACCATGCATCAGGTGCCGCACGTGAGGCAGCAGCACTCGTGGGACTGTGGCGTGGCGTGCCTAACGCTCCCACCTTGTCTCCCTCCCTGCTCCACAGTTCATGATTCTCCTCACCCCACGTGTTTCCCTCTCTCCCTCCCTGCATACCATGCATCAGGTGCCGCACGTGAGGCAGCAGCACTCGTGGGACTGTGGCGTGGCGTGCCTAACGCTCCCACCTTGTCTCCCTCCCTGCTCCACAGTTCATGATTCTCCTCACCCCACGTCTTTCCCTCTCTCCCTCCCTGCATACCATGCATCAGGTGCCGCACGTGAGGCAGCAGCACTCGTGGGACTGTGGCGTGGCGTGCCTAACGCTCCCACCTTGTCTCCCTCCCTGCTCCACAGTTCATGATTCTCCTCACCCCACGTCTTTCCCTCTCTCCCTCCCTGCATACCATGCATCAGGTGCCGCACGTGAGGCAGCAGCACTCGTGGGACTGTGGCGTGGCGTGCCTAACGCTCCCACCTTGTCTCCCTCCCTGCTCCACAGTTCATGATTCTCCTCACCCCACGTCTTTCCCTCTCTCCCTCCCTGCATACCATGCATCAGGTGCCGCACGTGAGGCAGCAGCACTCGTGGGACTGTGGCGTGGCGTGCCTAACGCTCCCACCTTGTCTCCCTCCCTGCTCCACAGTTCATGATTCTCCTCACCCCACGTCTTTCCCTCTCTCCCTCCCTGCATACCATGCATCAGGTGCCGCACGTGAGGCAGCAGCACTCGTGGGACTGTGACGTGGCGTGCCTAACGCTCCCACCTTGTCTCCCTCCCTGCTCCACAGTTCATGATTCTCCTCACCCCACGTCTTTCCCTCTCTCCCTCCCTGCATACCATGCATCAGGTGCCGCACGTGAGGCAGCAGCACTCGTGGGACTGTGGCGTGGCGTGCCTAACGCTCCCACCTTGTCTCCCTCCCTGCTCCACAGTTCATGATTCTCCTCACCCCACGTCTTTCCCTCTCTCCCTCCCTGCATACCATGCATCAGGTGCCGCACGTGAGGCAGCAGCACTCGTGGGACTGTGGCGTGGCGTGCCTAACGCTCCCACCTTGTCTCCCTCCCTGCTCCACAGTTCATGATTCTCCTCACCCCACGTCTTTCCCTCTCTCCCTCCCTGCATACCATGCATCAGGTGCCGCACGTGAGGCAGCAGCACTCGTGGGACTGTGGCGTGGCGTGCCTAACGCTCCCACCTTGTCTCCCTCCCTGCTCCACAGTTCATGATTCTCCTCACCCCACGTCTTTCCCTCTCTCCCTCCCTGCATACCATGCATCAGGTGCCGCACGTGAGGCAGCAGCACTCGTGGGACTGTGGCGTGGCGTGCCTAACGCTCCCACCTTGTCTCCCTCCCTGCTCCACAGTTCATGATTCTCCTCACCCCACGTGTTTCCCTCTCTCCCTCCCTGCATACCATGCATCAGGTGCCGCACGTGAGGCAGCAGCACTCGTGGGACTGTGGTGTGGCGTGCGTGCTCATGGTGCTCAAGGCGCTCCAAGTCCCCATCCACGCTGTTCAAACCGACCCCACGCAAAGCATCTCGGCCGTCCATTCGCCACAGCCAATCAGAGCATCTCCTGCCGTGCCTGCTGCTACAGCCGCAACTAGATCCTCAAGATCAAGCGTGGATCGTCCAGCAACACATACAGTTACAGCTGTGATCCATGCCCCTGCTACAGCACTGCCTGATGCTCCTGCTACAGCCACATCCCCTGCTCTTATAGACAGAGCTGTAGATACAGTCGCTGACCTAGCTGCAGCTGCTGCTGCAGCCGTTGCCACGCCCCCACCTAGCAGCGTGGTCATGGGAGCACCAGCCTCTAGATTTCCAGCAGTTAACGCCCACCCTGCCCCATCCCCGCTAGCAGCAGACTCGTTTGCGTTAGAAGCACCTCACGAGGAGCTTTCCTTGCGCGGGTCAGCCCAGGCGCGTGAGGGAGGCGAAACGTGTGCACAGGGTGAGGCGGTGCACAAGAGTGCTGCAGTGGAGCTCACCTGCCCGCCTGACACAGGGCTTGCGCGCGTTGCTGCTGAGACTGCTCATACTCATTCCACGTGGGATTCCATAGGGCAAGCGGAGGTTGCTGATACCACGTGGCACTCCCTGGAGACAGCAGGGGGTGCTGCTGGTTGCGGGGATGTGGGAGAGGGTGCTAATGGGTGCATGCGCAGAACAGAGGGTGCAGGGGTTGGCACAGGGGGGCTGGTGAGAAGAGGTTCAGCGAGGGGCCGTGGCTGTGCGGTGAGAGGTGGTGAAGAGGGGTGTGGTGCGGTGCATGGCACGACACGAGACATGCGAGCAGTGGCATGTGCAAGTGCGGCTATAGGGAGGGGGAGAGCAGCGGGGAGCAGAGAGGCATGCGAGCTGCAGCATCTGCACCGCCAGTGCGGTACCACCAGGTGAGCTCTCGCGTGGATGGTGGGTGGGTGGAATTAGCTGGCATGGCATCACACATGACATGGCATGGCATAAAGTGTGTGGTGCACTGCACAGCATGTGTGGCATGGTCTATGGTCTAAGCATGAGGCACAGAGCAGAATGGGCAATGGCAGGATGTCCCGACAATAAGCATATGTTCCGTTTGCTTACAAATCTCCAATCTTCCTCTCCCCTCCTTTGTAGCCCCCCCGTCCCCCTCCCCTTCCACTTCTCCCTTTCCCCTCCCCTATCATTCTACGGGCCTCTCGTTTTTCGCTGTCCTCCTGTCCAGATAGCTTCCCCCCTCCACTCAATATGTGCTGCCCACCATCCCTCGCACCTCTTGCCTCTCTCCTCTCTCCCCATCCCCCCCCCTACCTGCCGCCCTTCCCACTCCCCCCTCCGCTCTCCACCCTCCCCCCCCCCACCCTCCACCCCCACCCTGCGCGCTGCGCCCTTGGTTCACTGCCCATCACGGCAGTGTGTGGAGCATAGACCTGGTGGCGCTGCTGCAGCGCCACGGCGTGGGGGTGGAGTTCCTCACCGTCACCATCGGCGCCAACCCCTCCTTCGCCTCCCAGCCCTTCTACAAGGTGTGAACCGCACTGCCCTCCACTGTATGTGCTGTGCGCTATCCAGCCCTCCACTGTATAAGGTGCGCCCTTCTACAAGGTGCTGTACCTGCCCTGCCTACTAGTCTTCGCTCTTCTCTCCTCCTCCTCCTCCTCCTCCTCCTCCTCCTCCTCCTCCTCCTCCTCCTCCTCCTCCTCCTCCTCCTCCTCCTCCTCCTCCTCCTCCTCCTCCTCCTCCTCCTCCTCCTCCTCCTCCTCCTCCCCCTCTTCCTCCTCCTGCCGTTCGATGTCTCACTGACGTCCTCTGTCGCTTCTCCTCTCGCGCCTCTACGCGCCTTCTCGCCGGCAATCATGGGGCTTACACAGTTGAGGTTCACAGGCCAAGCTCTTGAGGCGCGTCAAGCAAAGCCTTATTTCTGGAATTACTGCTGCATCCTCCCCCATTCTCTGGTAAAACCCCCCTTCTGGTTTCCCAATCTTGTCTCACATCTCCTTCCCCTTCCAACCCCCGCACACTCCCCTCTCCCTGGCACAGGAGAACATGCCAGGGGATGTGGACCGGGTCAATCGTCTCTTTGCCGACACCATACGAGCCGGCGTGTGCATTCAGGTGCGAGGGGCGTTGCGGTGAGCTATGGTGCGGTGTGAGCGAGCTGGCATGCCTGTGCTGTGATGGTGTGGGCGTCGCTGTCTGCTCGTTTGGTCATTCGAGGAGCCTTTTAGTCCTGCGATGTTGTGTCGCTCGCTGATACTTCTTTCCCACTAGACAAAAACTGGCACCTGCCAGGTCAATGTGCGTGCCTTGGTTTTCCCACTCCACCTCTCTTCTCCCCTTCTTCCCCTCCTGGCAAAGCCTGCCCCCTTCTTCTCGTGCATCTGCCAGCCAGTTCCTGAAACACTGCTGTTATCCTCCCTAAACTTCCCTTTTTTGATTCCATTCGTCAAGGGTCGTGCATGAAACTTGTTAGCTAGTTCTTGGCCGGACTCTCCCCTGCCCGATTGTCTCATTCATCTTTGTAGTTTAACATGTATGTGATGTTCGTTCGTCCAATCCCCGTCTTTCTCCCCACTCCGCCTTGTCTCACCTCACGTCACCTTGCCTCACCGCTCCTCACCTCACTGCACCGTACCACCCTCAGTGTGCGTCCATAGGCATTCAAGATCTGGCCTGGCTGCTCCTCTCTGGTCGCTACCTAATCATTGCCCTCGTGGATAAGCGCACCATCACGTGAGTCATAAGCATTTCACTGCATGCTTTTCGGCTGTGCACTGCGTTGTTTTCTGCTGCTGTCCCTCACTGGCATGCACACAACATGCCGCCCCGCCCTCCCATGCGTGCCATCCGTCAGTGACCATGGTGCAATGCAACCCCCCCTCACACCCCCACATGCCCCCATGCAGCCATCCACTGGCATCAGTGCGATGCCCTCCTGAGTGCTGCGGTCCAACACCAGGCTACATTGGTGAGTGCTGCTGGATGCCGATGGGTGCAGATGGGTGCTGCTGGGTGCTAGTGTTGGGTGGAACCATGCTGGTGGGTGCAGGTTGCATTGGTGGGAGCTGCCTGCATGAGTGCATTGATCATGTGGTGCTGCATGCATGTGGTGGTGCACTATGTTGGAAAAGTCGCGCCCAGCGTATTATACGCAAGCGTATACGCTTGCGTATAATACGGGATGCGCTAAATGGGTGACTCAAGAATACGTGAAAAATACGCTGCCCGGACAGGTAAAACTTTTTCCCGGTCAGGCGGCACTAGGAACCTCAATAGTCGCACTCGCGGGAGTGCCAGTGCCAGTAGGGGGCGTCATCGTAGAGCTGCGAGGTGAACGAGAGAACTGGAGAAAGAGCATTGGACGATGTGAAAGATGAGAATGTTTAGGGTTGGGAGGGACTTACCTTTCTGTCCTCGATGAGAGTTGGGATAGGCTGGTTGGAGACATTCGTGTAGCTGAGTTGGAGTCCCGGGGTAACGGACGGTGCAATGCGGTTAATTTGAATGTCCCCTTGCCAAATTTGTGTGTTGGTGGGGTCGACGAATTGTTCTGATGTGCGAACAATTTGACGTCGCATTTGCAAAATTCGTGCGCACAATGTGTGTCGCGACGCATTTTCCAATTTCGTGCGCGAACTTTTTCTTTTTCTTTTTTGGCCGGGCAGCCCGGATATTTTCGAACGAATGTTCGTGCGTATTGCGTACAGCGTATATTCGTTTACATATATACGCTGTACGCATGCCCAGTCTGGCGACTTTTCCAACGTAGGTGGTGCATGCATGCGGTGCTGCATGCATGCGGTGCTGCATGCATGTGGTGCTGCATACATGTGGCACATCTCCCTATCCCTTGTCTTCCCTCGTGCTGCACTCCCATCTTCTACTCCTCTCATGATTCAATGCCTCTGCCCTGCTCCCGTACCACTGCTGTTCTTACCCTTGTTTCATCCTTTCCTCCTAACCCTACCTCGTATAACCCCTGGCCTCGCATGTGCTTTGTCCCATCCCGATGCCTCTCATGCCCTTTGTCTCCCCTCCATGCTGTCTTTTTAACATTCGACCATCCTGCCCGTCTCTTAATTCTCCGCACCATGCCTGCCGCTGCAGGTCACTTTGTGGTGCTGTGTGGGTTTGACAGCCACTCAAGGATGTTTGAGATCTGTGACCCCTCCTCGCATGGGTAAGTGCTCCCTCTCTCCTCGCATGGGTAAGTGCTCCCTCTCTCCTCGCATGGGTATGTGCTCCCTCTCTCCTCGCATGGGTATGTGCTCCCTCTCTCCTCGCATGGGTATGTGCTCCCTCTCTCCTCGCATGGGTAGGTGCTCCCTCTCTCCTCGCATGGGTAGGTGCTCCCTCTCTCCTTGCATGGGTAGATGCTCCCTCTCTCCTCGCATGGGTAGGTGCTCCCTCTCTCCTCGCATGGGTATGTGCTCCCTCTCTCCTCGCATGGGTAGGTGCTCCCTCTCTCCTCGCATGGGTAGGTGCTCCCTCTCTCCTCGCATGGGTAGGTGCTCCCTCTCTCCTCGCATGGGTAGGTGCTCCCTCTCTCCTCGCATGGGTAGGTGCTCCCTCTCTCCTCGCATGGGTAGGTGCTCCCTCTCTCCTCGCATGGGTAGGTGCTCCCTCTCTCCTCGCATGGGTAGGTGCTCCCTCTCTCCTCGCATGCGTATGTGCTCCCTCTCTCCTCGCATGGGTATGTGCTCCCTCTCTCCTCGCATGGGTATGTGCTCCCTCTCTCCTCGCATGGGTATGTGCTCCCTCTCTCCTCGCATGGGTATGTGCTCCCTCTCTCCTCGCATGGGCATGTGCTCCCACCATGTCTTCCTACTCCTCCTTTCTCCTCTTCTTTCTACGCTCACCCTATCTCTTCTCTTCCCCCTTTTCTACTCCTCTCTCAATTCATCTTCCCTCTCTTTTCTCCTTCCCTCTCTTTTCTCCGTCCGCTTTTCTCCATCCTCTTTTCTCCTCCCCCTCATTTCTCCTTCCCTCTCCTCTTTTCTCCTATCGCCACTTCCCTTCGCCCTCCTGCCCTTCCGCGATCCTCACCCCCAGCGGAACAGCATGGGTGCCCATGGCAGCAGTCGACGATGCACGCATGACGTTCGGCACCGACCAGGATCTTATTCTGGTAAGCAAGATTTGATTCTGGTGAGCAGGATCCAATCATGGTGACCAAAATCCGATTCTTCTGAGCGGTGAGAATTATCTGGTTCTGGTGGTAGGGGCTTGTGCATGAAGGGGATACATGGGGAAATATATTTGGGTGGTTCGTAGGGAAGAGATGGGGGAGAAGATGAGCATTTTCCTGCTTGGGGGGTTGGATTGCATTTGGCATTGGTGCTGCCATGGTTTAACACAGGCCATTGTGGTGGTTGAGGAAAGCGCCATTCCATCCATCATTACTTTTTGTTTCCATTCTGATTGTGTTTTGGCAGATTCAACTTCCAGACTTGCCATAGCATATCCAGATGAGCAGCATACCATGCTTCACGAGGATGTAGTGTGTTGCTAACAGTATGAACCACGTTCAACAGGAAGATTGGGTAGGGTATGTAGGTACTAGGTAGGTATTAACTAGATTTAGAAGTATCAAATGAAGTACGTTAGTTACTCTGCTGTTGGTGTCCCATTATATGGTCGAATAATGTGCAAATTGTTATATTTCCAGTTATGAAATCCCATTGTGATTTGAAGATGATAGGCAAGTGTGTTGCATGGTGCAGTGCAAAAGCCGAGCTGAAGTGCAATTTCTGTTTTAATTTGGGTGAACAAGAGACAATAATTACTTTAACTTGTAAACCACACCAAAGCAGTCATTCTGTTTCTTCTGGCTTCACCGTTTCGGGGACTAGTGTAGCGAATACAAACTCGTCATTTGAGTTCTTGAAATTTCTAGATAAGGGCGCGTTCGTTCCGTTCCCAAGTTCGAAAAAACGTTCGAACTTTTAGTGGTTACCCTTTTCCTCAATCTCGTTTAGGGCATTTGACGATCGTCGCGATTTTGAGAGCTTTTGAAAGTTAGAACTTGAAAAGTGAACTTGACTCGAGTTGGCGTTGTGAACGTGAGTGCGCACGTTCATGCGAGCGTGTGTGTTTTCGGCACGCACGAACAACTCGCGAAATTGACGGCTGTATTGCGAAACAGAAATTGGCATTATGTTGACTTGGCGAGAACGTACCGGGTAACATATAGGCTCGAATTTTGGTGTTCGACCTTGCGTGTGTGATTGCATCTTTGCAGTGTTATTCCCGCAATTTTCGAACTTCTCTACAAGGAAAGTCGAATTTCATTCGACTTAAGTTCAATTATACCCCCCTCCAAAACATGAACTTTGTCACATTTGACGGAACGAACACGCCCTAATCAACGACAGCAGTGCAAAGCAAAAGCGCCCCTCCAACACCACATCCGGCAAGCGTAGCGACGTGCGGTGCGATAAGCGAGTTTGTTGCCACACCGAGGCTTGCATGCTCCTTGCTAGCGTGAATGTCCCGCAAGAATAGCTCTTGACCGCGTCGCGTTGCTTTAGGGTTATGACGGTGTCTTCGCAGCCACGTTTGACGAGAATGGAGTCTCGAGCGCGTCGCAAGGCCGCTAGCAGCAATCGGAGTAGTCGTCAGATAACCGACTTGGAGCAGCTAGGCGAAGGCTTGCGACGACTTACGAATGAAGTTGTTTACGGCGACGCCCTGCGATCTTTTGCGTGCGACGTGGGGACCTTGGCGAAAAAAGGAGCGCCGTCTGCGAAAAAGGCGGGCGAAGGGTTACATCTCGTCAATACCTGCGCCTGGATGCCAGCTGGCAGCACGCCGCTTGACTCGTTGGCGCTTATCGCGTTGCAAATGAGCGCGCAGTCCTCGCCGTTAATCGCGGTGCGTCTCGTGATAGCCGTTCTTCACGCCCTTGCATTAATAGCGGTCGTCGCTAACTCCGTCACAATCAGAAGCATCTTGACTTGCTTGACCTCCTTGACTATCTTGACTCTCTTGACTATCGTGGAAACTTTTTAAACTCTTTTTTTCTTTCCTTCATTTTTCGCATTCTTTTTTTTCATCCACTGTGAACTTTCTGCTCCTCGCAGGACCTTCGCCGTATCTTGCTGGAAGCGGGGCGCGTGCCCGCCTTGAAGCGCCTCTCCATCGGCGCGCTTAGGCTGCTCGCCGTCCTCCTCGGCCTCCCGCTCCCGGCGCTCCCCCTCCCCTCCGCGCGCCGACCCCTCGCTGTCTCGACCGCTGCATTTCCTCTCCGCGCAACTTCCGCCGCAAGTAACGGCGTTTCGTCCGTCGCTCTTGTTCTCAAAGCTTCCCGCCAAAAGACGACCGCCGGGTGCGGGCGTTTGAAGGAGGAGCTGATAAACCTCATTCTGACGGATTCCGTTTGGAAAATGGACGATTTTCCGGCCAAGGTTCACGGAGGGATGACCGGGCGAAGGGAGAGAATGATGACGGAAGGCGAGCTGCGCGCCGAGTGCGAGACGGGGGGGAATCGGCGGACGGGGGTAGAAAGGCCGCGAGAGAGGGAAGGGGGGAGGGAGGGGGAAAGGAGGAGCAAGGGGGAAGGGGGCAAGGAGGGAGAAAGGAGGGAGGTGCAAAATAAGAGGGAGGGGAAAAGGAGGAGGGAGGGGAAAGGGGTGGAGAGGGATTTGCGGAGGAGCAGGGAAGGGCGGAGGGAGCGTACGGGGAGAGAGAGGCATGCTGGCGAAGGAAGCGATGCAGTGCGGTGCGGAGGGATGGAGGAGAATAAGGCGAGTGGTGGAGGGAAGGACGGGGAGAGGACGGATTCTGTAAGAACCAGAGTCACGGATGGCGGTTGTGGCAGGGCCCAAGGGTTGGCGTTGGGCCCACAGCTGGCGGGGCAGCGCAGGAAGAGAGTGAAAGCAGTGGCAGTAACCGTGGCGGCAGGGGAGGTGCATGTGAGAGGGTGGGCAAGTATGAGTCTGGTGGGGGTGGGGCTGGGGGTGGGGCGGTGGAGTGTGCAGTGTGTGCGAGTGCGGCGAGGGTGAGGCTGGTGGGGCAATGGCAGGAGATGCAAAGGTGGGCAACAGTGACTCGCCCGTGCCTTCTATGCCTCTGTTGCCCACGCTGCCCGTGCTGCCCGTGCCGCCCGTGCTGCCAGCAATACGGATGAGTGCAGGCAAGAGCACGCTGGGCGGGCGGCGCCGCCACCTGAGTGCCACAGAGTATTTTGGAAGCGGTGGGGCCGGCAGCAGGGCCTGTGGGAGGCGCGCTGGCGCATGTGAGCGTGCTACGGGCGGGGAAGACCTGGAGTGTGGTGCTGGCAGGGGAGGCTTGGAGTGTGGTGCTGGCAGGGAAAGGTGTGAATGTGGTGCGCGCAGCACGGCATGTGAAGATGCCCGCCCTGCTGTGTGCTCCGCTATTGACAGTCACGGGTTAAGTCAAGGGATCGAGGCGGGGCAATGGAGAGATGGGGAAGATGACCAAGACAAGGGCGTCTGTCGGACAGAAGGAAAAGGGGGGACAGGAGGACGGGGGGAAGGAGGAAAGGCAGCAGTGGCAGGGGATGGTTGTGCTGTTGCGACTGTGCGCCGTGCTTCTGCATCTGCTGCCGCCATTCCCGCTCCTGCAGTGGCTCGTGTCACTCCACCACCTCCCGTTTCTCCTCATGCCACAAACTCAGTCCTCCAGCCGTGTTTCCTCGAAAGCTCAGAGGTGGAATTTGTGGCGATCAGAGCAGCGATGGGGGCGTGAGAGCAGCAGGGCACATGGAGGCTGATCAAAGAGCCATGGCTGAGAGCAGCAGGGCACATGGAGGCTGCACACAGGGATCAACAGCTGGCCAGCCATGGCAGTGTGTTGAGAGCAGCAGGGCACATGGAGGCTGCACACAGGGATCAACAGCTGGCCAGCCATGGCAGTGTGTTGAGAGCAGCAGGGCACATGGAGGCTGCACACAGGGATCAACAGCTGGCCAGCCATGGCAGTGTGTTGAGAGCAGCAGGGCACATGGAGGCTGCACACAGGGATCAACAGCTGGCCAGCCATGGCAGTGTGTTGAGAGCAGCAGGGCACATGGAGGCTGCACACAGGGATCAACAGCTGGCCAGCCATGGCAGTGTGTTGAGAGCAGCAGGGCACATGGAGGCTGCACACAGGGATCAACAGCTGGCCAGCCATGGCAGTGTGTTGAGAGCAGCAGGGCACATGGAGGCTGCACACAGGGATCAACAGCTGGCCAGCCATGGCAGTGTGTTGAGAGCAGCAGGGCACATGGAGGCTGCACACAGGGATCAACAGCTGGCCAGCCATGGCAGTGTGTTGAGAGCAGCAGGGCACATGGAGGCTGCACACAGGGATCAACAGCTGGCCAGCCATGGCAGTGTGTTGAGAGCAGCAGGGCACATGGAGGCTGCACACAGGGATCAACAGCTGGCCAGCCATGGCAGTGTGTTGAGAGCAGCAGGGCACATGGAGGCTGCACACAGGGATCAACAGCTGGCCAGCCATGGCAGTGTGTTGAGAGCAGCAGGGCACATGGAGGCTGCACACAGGGATCAACAGCTGGCCAGCCATGGCAGTGTGTTGAGAGCAGCAGGGCACATGGAGGCTGCACACAGGGATCAACAGCTGGCCAGCCATGGCAGTGTGTTGAGAGCAGCAGGGCACATGGAGGCTGCACACAGGGATCAACAGCTGGCCAGCCATGGCAGTGTGTTGAGAGCAGCAGGGCACATGGAGGCTGCACACAGGGATCAACAGCTGGCCAGCCATGGCAGTGTGTTGAGAGCAGCAGGGCACATGGAGGCTGCACACAGGGATCAACAGCTGGCCAGCCATGGCAGTGTGTTGAGAGCAGCAGGGCACATGGAGGCTGCACACAGGGATCAACAGCTGGCCAGCCATGGCAGTGTGTTGAGAGCAGCAGGGCACATGGAGGCTGCACACAGGGATCAACAGCTGGCCAGCCATGGCAGTGTGTTGAGAGCAGCAGGGCACATGGAGGCTGCACACAGGGATCAACAGCTGGCCAGCCATGGCAGTGTGTTGAGAGCAGCAGGGCACATGGAGGCTGCACACAGGGATCAACAGCTGGCCAGCCATGGCAGTGTGTTGAGAGCAGCAGGGCACATGGAGGCTGCACACAGGGATCAACAGCTGGCCAGCCATGGCAGTGTGTTGAGAGCAGCAGGGCACATGGAGGCTGCACACAGGGATCAACAGCTGGCCAGCCATGGCAGTGTGTTGAGAGCAGCAGGGCACATGGAGGCTGCACACAGGGATCAACAGCTGGCCAGCCATGGCAGTGTGTTGAGAGCAGCAGGGCACATGGAGGCTGCACACAGGGATCAACAGCTGGCCAGCCATGGCAGTGTGTTGAGAGCAGCAGGGCACATGGAGGCTGCACACAGGGATCAACAGCTGGCCAGCCATGGCAGTGTGTTGAGAGCAGCAGGGCACATGGAGGCTGCACACAGGGATCAACAGCTGGCCAGCCATGGCAGTGTGTTGAGAGCAGCAGGGCACATGGAGGCTGCACACAGGGATCAACAGCTGGCCAGCCATGGCAGTGTGTTGAGAGCAGCAGGGCACATGGAGGCTGCACACAGGGATCAACAGCTGGCCAGCCATGGCAGTGTGTTGAGAGCAGCAGGGCACATGGAGGCTGCACACAGGGATCAACAGCTGGCCAGCCATGGCAGTGTGTTGAGAGCAGCAGGGCACATGGAGGCTGCACACAGGGATCAACAGCTGGCCAGCCATGGCAGTGTGTTGAGAGCAGCAGGGCACATGGAGGCTGCACACAGGGATCAACAGCTGGCCAGCCATGGCAGTGTGTTGAGAGCAGCAGGGCACATGGAGGCTGCACACAGGGATCAACAGCTGGCCAGCCATGGCAGTGTGTTGAGAGCAGCAGGGCACATGGAGGCTGCACACAGGGATCAACAGCTGGCCAGCCATGGCAGTGTGTTGAGAGCAGCAGGGCACATGGAGGCTGCACACAGGGATCAACAGCTGGCCAGCCATGGCAGTGTGTTGAGAGCAGCAGGGCACATGGAGGCTGCACACAGGGATCAACAGCTGGCCAGCCATGGCAGTGTGTTGAGAGCAGCAGGGCACATGGAGGCTGCACACAGGGATCAACAGCTGGCCAGCCATGGCAGTGTGTTGAGAGCAGCAGGGCACATGGAGGCTGCACACAGGGATCAACAGCTGGCCAGCCATGGCAGTGTGTTGAGAGCAGCAGGGCACATGGAGGCTGCACACAGGGATCAACAGCTGGCCAGCCATGGCAGTGTGTTGAGAGCAGCAGGGCACATGGAGGCTGCACACAGGGATCAACAGCTGGCCAGCCATGGCAGTGTGTTGAGAGCAGCAGGGCACATGGAGGCTGCACACAGGGATCAACAGCTGGCCAGCCATGGCAGTGTGTTGAGAGCAGCAGGGCACATGGAGGCTGCACACAGGGATCAACAGCTGGCCAGCCATGGCAGTGTGTTGAGAGCAGCAGGGCACATGGAGGCTGCACACAGGGATCAACAGCTGGCCAGCCATGGCAGTGTGTTGAGAGCAGCAGGGCACATGGAGGCTGCACACAGGGATCAACAGCTGGCCAGCCATGGCAGTGTGTTGAGAGCAGCAGGGCACATGGAGGCTGCACACAGGGATCAACAGCTGGCCAGCCATGGCAGTGTGTTGAGAGCAGCAGGGCACATGGAGGCTGCACACAGGGATCAACAGCTGGCCAGCCATGGCAGTGTGTTGAGAGCAGCAGGGCACATGGAGGCTGCACACAGGGATCAACAGCTGGCCAGCCATGGCAGTGTGTTGAGAGCAGCAGGGCACATGGAGGCTGCACACAGGGATCAACAGCTGGCCAGCCATGGCAGTGTGTTGAGAGCAGCAGGGCACATGGAGGCTGCACACAGGGATCAACAGCTGGCCAGCCATGGCAGTGTGTTGAGAGCAGCAGGGCACATGGAGGCTGCACACAGGGATCAACAGCTGGCCAGCCATGGCAGTGTGTTGAGAGCAGCAGGGCACATGGAGGCTGCACACAGGGATCAACAGCTGGCCAGCCATGGCAGTGTGTTGAGAGCAGCAGGGCACATGGAGGCTGCACACAGGGATCAACAGCTGGCCAGCCATGGCAGTGTGTTGAGAGCAGCAGGGCACATGGAGGCTGCACACAGGGATCAACAGCTGGCCAGCCATGGCAGTGTGTTGAGAGCAGCAGGGCACATGGAGGCTGCACACAGGGATCAACAGCTGGCCAGCCATGGCAGTGTGTTGAGAGCAGCAGGGCACATGGAGGCTGCACACAGGGATCAACAGCTGGCCAGCCATGGCAGTGTGTTGAGAGCAGCAGGGCACATGGAGGCTGCACACAGGGATCAACAGCTGGCCAGCCATGGCAGTGTGTTGAGAGCAGCAGGGCACATGGAGGCTGCACACAGGGATCAACAGCTGGCCAGCCATGGCAGTGTGTTGAGAGCAGCAGGGCACATGGAGGCTGCACACAGGGATCAACAGCTGGCCAGCCATGGCAGTGTGTTGAGAGCAGCAGGGCACATGGAGGCTGCACACAGGGATCAACAGCTGGCCAGCCATGGCAGTGTGTTGAGAGCAGCAGGGCACATGGAGGCTGCACACAGGGATCAACAGCTGGCCAGCCATGGCAGTGTGTTGAGAGCAGCAGGGCACATGGAGGCTGCACACAGGGATCAACAGCTGGCCAGCCATGGCAGTGTGTTGAGAGCAGCAGGGCACATGGAGGCTGCACACAGGGATCAACAGCTGGCCAGCCATGGCAGTGTGTTGAGAGCAGCAGGGCACATGGAGGCTGCACACAGGGATCAACAGCTGGCCAGCCATGGCAGTGTGTTGAGAGCAGCAGGGCACATGGAGGCTGCACACAGGGATCAACAGCTGGCCAGCCATGGCAGTGTGTTGAGAGCAGCAGGGCACATGGAGGCTGCACACAGGGATCAACAGCTGGCCAGCCATGGCAGTGTGTTGAGAGCAGCAGGGCACATGGAGGCTGCACACAGGGATCAACAGCTGGCCAGCCATGGCAGTGTGTTGAGAGCAGCAGGGCACATGGAGGCTGCACACAGGGATCAACAGCTGGCCAGCCATGGCAGTGTGTTGAGAGCAGCAGGGCACATGGAGGCTGCACACAGGGATCAACAGCTGGCCAGCCATGGCAGTGTGTTGAGAGCAGCAGGGCACATGGAGGCTGCACACAGGGATCAACAGCTGGCCAGCCATGGCAGTGTGTTGAGAGCAGCAGGGCACATGGAGGCTGCACACAGGGATCAACAGCTGGCCAGCCATGGCAGTGTGTTGAGAGCAGCAGGGCACATGGAGGCTGCACACAGGGATCAACAGCTGGCCAGCCATGGCAGTGTGTTGAGAGCAGCAGGGCACATGGAGGCTGCACACAGGGATCAACAGCTGGCCAGCCATGGCAGTGTGTTGAGAGCAGCAGGGCACATGGAGGCTGCACACAGGGATCAACAGCTGGCCAGCCATGGCAGTGTGTTGAGAGCAGCAGGGCACATGGAGGCTGCACACAGGGATCAACAGCTGGCCAGCCATGGCAGTGTGTTGAGAGCAGCAGGGCACATGGAGGCTGCACACAGGGATCAACAGCTGGCCAGCCATGGCAGTGTGTTGAGAGCAGCAGGGCACATGGAGGCTGCACACAGGGATCAACAGCTGGCCAGCCATGGCAGTGTGTTGAGAGCAGCAGGGCACATGGAGGCTGCACACAGGGATCAACAGCTGGCCAGCCATGGCAGTGTGTTGAGAGCAGCAGGGCACATGGAGGCTGCACACAGGGATCAACAGCTGGCCAGCCATGGCAGTGTGTTGAGAGCAGCAGGGCACATGGAGGCTGCACACAGGGATCAACAGCTGGCCAGCCATGGCAGTGTGTTGAGAGCAGCAGGGCACATGGAGGCTGCACACAGGGATCAACAGCTGGCCAGCCATGGCAGTGTGTTGAGAGCAGCAGGGCACATGGAGGCTGCACACAGGGATCAACAGCTGGCCAGCCATGGCAGTGTGTTGAGAGCAGCAGGGCACATGGAGGCTGCACACAGGGATCAACAGCTGGCCAGCCATGGCAGTGTGTTGAGAGCAGCAGGGCACATGGAGGCTGCACACAGGGATCAACAGCTGGCCAGCCATGGCAGTGTGTTGAGAGCAGCAGGGCACATGGAGGCTGCACACAGGGATCAACAGCTGGCCAGCCATGGCAGTGTGTTGAGAGCAGCAGGGCACATGGAGGCTGCACACAGGGATCAACAGCTGGCCAGCCATGGCAGTGTGTTGAGAGCAGCAGGGCACATGGAGGCTGCACACAGGGATCAACAGCTGGCCAGCCATGGCAGTGTGTTGAGAGCAGCAGGGCACATGGAGGCTGCACACAGGGATCAACAGCTGGCCAGCCATGGCAGTGTGTTGAGAGCAGCAGGGCACATGGAGGCTGCACACAGGGATCAACAGCTGGCCAGCCATGGCAGTGTGTTGAGAGCAGCAGGGCACATGGAGGCTGCACACAGGGATCAACAGCTGGCCAGCCATGGCAGTGTGTTGAGAGCAGCAGGGCACATGGAGGCTGCACACAGGGATCAACAGCTGGCCAGCCATGGCAGTGTGTTGAGAGCAGCAGGGCACATGGAGGCTGCACACAGGGATCAACAGCTGGCCAGCCATGGCAGTGTGTTGAGAGCAGCAGGGCACATGGAGGCTGCACACAGGGATCAACAGCTGGCCAGCCATGGCAGTGTGTTGAGAGCAGCAGGGCACATGGAGGCTGCACACAGGGATCAACAGCTGGCCAGCCATGGCAGTGTGTTGAGAGCAGCAGGGCACATGGAGGCTGCACACAGGGATCAACAGCTGGCCAGCCATGGCAGTGTGTTGAGAGCAGCAGGGCACATGGAGGCTGCACACAGGGATCAACAGCTGGCCAGCCATGGCAGTGTGTTGAGAGCAGCAGGGCACATGGAGGCTGCACACAGGGATCAACAGCTGGCCAGCCATGGCAGTGTGTTGAGAGCAGCAGGGCACATGGAGGCTGCACACAGGGATCAACAGCTGGCCAGCCATGGCAGTGTGTTGAGAGCAGCAGGGCACATGGAGGCTGCACACAGGGATCAACAGCTGGCCAGCCATGGCAGTGTGTTGAGAGCAGCAGGGCACATGGAGGCTGCACACAGGGATCAACAGCTGGCCAGCCATGGCAGTGTGTTGAGAGCAGCAGGGCACATGGAGGCTGCACACAGGGATCAACAGCTGGCCAGCCATGGCAGTGTGTTGAGAGCAGCAGGGCACATGGAGGCTGCACACAGGGATCAACAGCTGGCCAGCCATGGCAGTGTGTTGAGAGCAGCAGGGCACATGGAGGCTGCACACAGGGATCAACAGCTGGCCAGCCATGGCAGTGTGTTGAGAGCAGCAGGGCACATGGAGGCTGCACACAGGGATCAACAGCTGGCCAGCCATGGCAGTGTGTTGAGAGCAGCAGGGCACATGGAGGCTGCACACAGGGATCAACAGCTGGCCAGCCATGGCAGTGTGTTGAGAGCAGCAGGGCACATGGAGGCTGCACACAGGGATCAACAGCTGGCCAGCCATGGCAGTGTGTTGAGAGCAGCAGGGCACATGGAGGCTGCACACAGGGATCAACAGCTGGCCAGCCATGGCAGTGTGTTGAGAGCAGCAGGGCACATGGAGGCTGCACACAGGGATCAACAGCTGGCCAGCCATGGCAGTGTGTTGAGAGCAGCAGGGCACATGGAGGCTGCACACAGGGATCAACAGCTGGCCAGCCATGGCAGTGTGTTGAGAGCAGCAGGGCACATGGAGGCTGCACACAGGGATCAACAGCTGGCCAGCCATGGCAGTGTGTTGAGAGCAGCAGGGCACATGGAGGCTGCACACAGGGATCAACAGCTGGCCAGCCATGGCAGTGTGTTGAGAGCAGCAGGGCACATGGAGGCTGCACACAGGGATCAACAGCTGGCCAGCCATGGCAGTGTGTTGAGAGCAGCAGGGCACATGGAGGCTGCACACAGGGATCAACAGCTGGCCAGCCATGGCAGTGTGTTGAGAGCAGCAGGGCACATGGAGGCTGCACACAGGGATCAACAGCTGGCCAGCCATGGCAGTGTGTTGAGAGCAGCAGGGCACATGGAGGCTGCACACAGGGATCAACAGCTGGCCAGCCATGGCAGTGTGTTGAGAGCAGCAGGGCACATGGAGGCTGCACACAGGGATCAACAGCTGGCCAGCCATGGCAGTGTGTTGAGAGCAGCAGGGCACATGGAGGCTGCACACAGGGATCAACAGCTGGCCAGCCATGGCAGTGTGTTGAGAGCAGCAGGGCACATGGAGGCTGCACACAGGGATCAACAGCTGGCCAGCCATGGCAGTGTGTTGAGAGCAGCAGGGCACATGGAGGCTGCACACAGGGATCAACAGCTGGCCAGCCATGGCAGTGTGTTGAGAGCAGCAGGGCACATGGAGGCTGCACACAGGGATCAACAGCTGGCCAGCCATGGCAGTGTGTTGAGAGCAGCAGGGCACATGGAGGCTGCACACAGGGATCAACAGCTGGCCAGCCATGGCAGTGTGTTGAGAGCAGCAGGGCACATGGAGGCTGCACACAGGGATCAACAGCTGGCCAGCCATGGCAGTGTGTTGAGAGCAGCAGGGCACATGGAGGCTGCACACAGGGATCAACAGCTGGCCAGCCATGGCAGTGTGTTGAGAGCAGCAGGGCACATGGAGGCTGCACACAGGGATCAACAGCTGGCCAGCCATGGCAGTGTGTTGAGAGCAGCAGGGCACATGGAGGCTGCACACAGGGATCAACAGCTGGCCAGCCATGGCAGTGTGTTGAGAGCAGCAGGGCACATGGAGGCTGCACACAGGGATCAACAGCTGGCCAGCCATGGCAGTGTGTTGAGAGCAGCAGGGCACATGGAGGCTGCACACAGGGATCAACAGCTGGCCAGCCATGGCAGTGTGTTGAGAGCAGCAGGGCACATGGAGGCTGCACACAGGGATCAACAGCTGGCCAGCCATGGCAGTGTGTTGAGAGCAGCAGGGCACATGGAGGCTGCACACAGGGATCAACAGCTGGCCAGCCATGGCAGTGTGTTGAGAGCAGCAGGGCACATGGAGGCTGCACACAGGGATCAACAGCTGGCCAGCCATGGCAGTGTGTTGAGAGCAGCAGGGCACATGGAGGCTGCACACAGGGATCAACAGCTGGCCAGCCATGGCAGTGTGTTGAGAGCAGCAGGGCACATGGAGGCTGCACACAGGGATCAACAGCTGGCCAGCCATGGCAGTGTGTTGAGAGCAGCAGGGCACATGGAGGCTGCACACAGGGATCAACAGCTGGCCAGCCATGGCAGTGTGTTGAGAGCAGCAGGGCACATGGAGGCTGCACACAGGGATCAACAGCTGGCCAGCCATGGCAGTGTGTTGAGAGCAGCAGGGCACATGGAGGCTGCACACAGGGATCAACAGCTGGCCAGCCATGGCAGTGTGTTGAGAGCAGCAGGGCACATGGAGGCTGCACACAGGGATCAACAGCTGGCCAGCCATGGCAGTGTGTTGAGAGCAGCAGGGCACATGGAGGCTGCACACAGGGATCAACAGCTGGCCAGCCATGGCAGTGTGTTGAGAGCAGCAGGGCACATGGAGGCTGCACACAGGGATCAACAGCTGGCCAGCCATGGCAGTGTGTTGAGAGCAGCAGGGCACATGGAGGCTGCACACAGGGATCAACAGCTGGCCAGCCATGGCAGTGTGTTGAGAGCAGCAGGGCACATGGAGGCTGCACACAGGGATCAACAGCTGGCCAGCCATGGCAGTGTGTTGAGAGCAGCAGGGCACATGGAGGCTGCACACAGGGATCAACAGCTGGCCAGCCATGGCAGTGTGTTGAGAGCAGCAGGGCACATGGAGGCTGCACACAGGGATCAACAGCTGGCCAGCCATGGCAGTGTGTTGAGAGCAGCAGGGCACATGGAGGCTGCACACAGGGATCAACAGCTGGCCAGCCATGGCAGTGTGTTGAGAGCAGCAGGGCACATGGAGGCTGCACACAGGGATCAACAGCTGGCCAGCCATGGCAGTGTGTTGAGAGCAGCAGGGCACATGGAGGCTGCACACAGGGATCAACAGCTGGCCAGCCATGGCAGTGTGTTGAGAGCAGCAGGGCACATGGAGGCTGCACACAGGGATCAACAGCTGGCCAGCCATGGCAGTGTGTTGAGAGCAGCAGGGCACATGGAGGCTGCACACAGGGATCAACAGCTGGCCAGCCATGGCAGTGTGTTGAGAGCAGCAGGGCACATGGAGGCTGCACACAGGGATCAACAGCTGGCCAGCCATGGCAGTGTGTTGAGAGCAGCAGGGCACATGGAGGCTGCACACAGGGATCAACAGCTGGCCAGCCATGGCAGTGTGTTGAGAGCAGCAGGGCACATGGAGGCTGCACACAGGGATCAACAGCTGGCCAGCCATGGCAGTGTGTTGAGAGCAGCAGGGCACATGGAGGCTGCACACAGGGATCAACAGCTGGCCAGCCATGGCAGTGTGTTGAGAGCAGCAGGGCACATGGAGGCTGCACACAGGGATCAACAGCTGGCCAGCCATGGCAGTGTGTTGAGAGCAGCAGGGCACATGGAGGCTGCACACAGGGATCAACAGCTGGCCAGCCATGGCAGTGTGTTGAGAGCAGCAGGGCACATGGAGGCTGCACACAGGGATCAACAGCTGGCCAGCCATGGCAGTGTGTTGAGAGCAGCAGGGCACAAGGAGGCTGCACACAGGGATCAACAGCTGGCCAGCCATGGCAGTGTGTTGAGAGCAGCAGGGCACATGGAGGCTGCACACAGGGATCAACAGCTGGCCAGCCATGGCAGTGTGTTGAGAGCAGCAGGGCACATGGAGGCTGCACACAGGGATCAACAGCTGGCCAGCCATGGCAGTGTGTTGAGAGCAGCAGGGCACATGGAGGCTGCACACAGGGATCAACAGCTGGCCAGCCATGGCAGTGTGTTGAGAGCAGCAGGGCACATGGAGGCTGCACACAGGGATCAACAGCTGGCCAGCCATGGCAGTGTGTTGAGAGCAGCAGGGCACATGGAGGCTGCACACAGGGATCAACAGCTGGCCAGCCATGGCAGTGTGTTGAGAGCAGCAGGGCACATGGAGGCTGCACACAGGGATCAACAGCTGGCCAGCCATGGCAGTGTGTTGAGAGCAGCAGGGCACATGGAGGCTGCACACAGGGATCAACAGCTGGCCAGCCATGGCAGTGTGTTGAGAGCAGCAGGGCACATGGAGGCTGCACACAGGGATCAACAGCTGGCCAGCCATGGCAGTGTGTTGAGAGCAGCAGGGCACATGGAGGCTGCACACAGGGATCAACAGCTGGCCAGCCATGGCAGTGTGTTGAGAGCAGCAGGGCACATGGAGGCTGCACACAGGGATCAACAGCTGGCCAGCCATGGCAGTGTGTTGAGAGCAGCAGGGCACATGGAGGCTGCACACAGGGATCAACAGCTGGCCAGCCATGGCAGTGTGTTGAGAGCAGCAGGGCACATGGAGGCTGCACACAGGGATCAACAGCTGGCCAGCCATGGCAGTGTGTTGAGAGCAGCAGGGCACATGGAGGCTGCACACAGGGATCAACAGCTGGCCAGCCATGGCAGTGTGTTGAGAGCAGCAGGGCACATGGAGGCTGCACACAGGGATCAACAGCTGGCCAGCCATGGCAGTGTGTTGAGAGCAGCAGGGCACATGGAGGCTGCACACAGGGATCAACAGCTGGCCAGCCATGGCAGTGTGTTGAGAGCAGCAGGGCACATGGAGGCTGCACACAGGGATCAACAGCTGGCCAGCCATGGCAGTGTGTTGAGAGCAGCAGGGCACATGGAGGCTGCACACAGGGATCAACAGCTGGCCAGCCATGGCAGTGTGTTGAGAGCAGCAGGGCACATGGAGGCTGCACACAGGGATCAACAGCTGGCCAGCCATGGCAGTGTGTTGAGAGCAGCAGGGCACATGGAGGCTGCACACAGGGATCAACAGCTGGCCAGCCATGGCAGTGTGTTGAGAGCAGCAGGGCACATGGAGGCTGCACACAGGGATCAACAGCTGGCCAGCCATGGCAGTGTGTTGAGAGCAGCAGGGCACATGGAGGCTGCACACAGGGATCAACAGCTGGCCAGCCATGGCAGTGTGTTGAGAGCAGCAGGGCACATGGAGGCTGCACACAGGGATCAACAGCTGGCCAGCCATGGCAGTGTGTTGAGAGCAGCAGGGCACATGGAGGCTGCACACAGGGATCAACAGCTGGCCAGCCATGGCAGTGTGTTGAGAGCAGCAGGGCACATGGAGGCTGCACACAGGGATCAACAGCTGGCCAGCCATGGCAGTGTGTTGAGAGCAGCAGGGCACATGGAGGCTGCACACAGGGATCAACAGCTGGCCAGCCATGGCAGTGTGTTGAGAGCAGCAGGGCACATGGAGGCTGCACACAGGGATCAACAGCTGGCCAGCCATGGCAGTGTGTTGAGAGCAGCAGGGCACATGGAGGCTGCACACAGGGATCAACAGCTGGCCAGCCATGGCAGTGTGTTGAGAGCAGCAGGGCACATGGAGGCTGCACACAGGGATCAACAGCTGGCCAGCCATGGCAGTGTGTTGAGAGCAGCAGGGCACATGGAGGCTGCACACAGGGATCAACAGCTGGCCAGCCATGGCAGTGTGTTGAGAGCAGCAGGGCACATGGAGGCTGCACACAGGGATCAACAGCTGGCCAGCCATGGCAGTGTGTTGAGAGCAGCAGGGCACATGGAGGCTGCACACAGGGATCAACAGCTGGCCAGCCATGGCAGTGTGTTGAGAGCAGCAGGGCACATGGAGGCTGCACACAGGGATCAACAGCTGGCCAGCCATGGCAGTGTGTTGAGAGCAGCAGGGCACATGGAGGCTGCACACAGGGATCAACAGCTGGCCAGCCATGGCAGTGTGTTGAGAGCAGCAGGGCACATGGAGGCTGCACACAGGGATCAACAGCTGGCCAGCCATGGCAGTGTGTTGAGAGCAGCAGGGCACATGGAGGCTGCACACAGGGATCAACAGCTGGCCAGCCATGGCAGTGTGTTGAGAGCAGCAGGGCACATGGAGGCTGCACACAGGGATCAACAGCTGGCCAGCCATGGCAGTGTGTTGAGAGCAGCAGGGCACATGGAGGCTGCACACAGGGATCAACAGCTGGCCAGCCATGGCAGTGTGTTGAGAGCAGCAGGGCACATGGAGGCTGCACACAGGGATCAACAGCTGGCCAGCCATGGCAGTGTGTTGAGAGCAGCAGGGCACATGGAGGCTGCACACAGGGATCAACAGCTGGCCAGCCATGGCAGTGTGTTGAGAGCAGCAGGGCACAAGGAGGCTGCACACAGGGATCAACAGCTGGCCAGCCATGGCAGTGTGTTGAGAGCAGCAGGGCACAAGGAGGCTGCACACAGGGATCAACAGCTGGCCAGCCATGGCAGTGTGTTGAGAGCAGCAGGGCACATGGAGGCTGCACACAGGGATCAACAGCTGGCCAGCCATGGCAGTGTGTTGAGAGCAGCAGGGCACATGGAGGCTGCACACAGGGATCAACAGCTGGCCAGCCATGGCAGTGTGTTGAGAGCAGCAGGAGCATAGCACTAAAGGAGATGTGATGTTGCGTGCCAATCCAATCCAGGCAGTCCCATCCAGCCATCTGCTCTGCTCCAATCCACCACCACCCCGTCCTACTCAACCATACTCGCCTGCTAGCTTCCATGGCTGGCTGGGTTACCGTACAACCATAAACAAATTCCAGTACAAGCCACGGACAACAGCAGGGCCCGTGCTAGGATTTGGGGCATCTTGAGCCCTCAGGGCAACTTTCCAGAAACTCAAAAAATGCCCTGATTTGTCAGGACAAATCTTTGAAGGCATCCTGTAGCTTCAGGGCTTCAGCTGAATTTAATCCTGACCTGTCAGGGCAGAAAAACTTGTTGAGATAGCTAGGCAAGGTGAGGTTCACTATCGAGAGAAATGGTACAAATGACACAACCCTAAGGAGTTATCCCCTATAACATCTACCCCACTACAGCCTACCAATATATATCACACATATATATCATTTGACACACCCCCATAGGCAAAGTGGGGGAGAGCAACGGGTCACAAGACCAGTCAAGAGAAACAAAACAAGCTCAGGGTGGATCACAACGTCACCACACATTCTGAGCACAAGCAAATGGCCACAAGGCCAGTTCACATGCAGAGATATATATGCAGCAATGACAGTACAGTGTCGAGCTACCTAGCAAGAGCCAGCATGCAGGTATATATGTATATAGATCACAGTACAAGCAAAGACTACAGCAAGTGTGGAAGCGTAGGCACAAGGCCTAACAGAAAGCGCTGATGATCACCAGACGGAAGTGCCTTGGTGAATATATCAGCAGTGTTGGCCCGAGTGGCCACGTAACGAAGACAAAGCTGGCCTCGCTGCTGCAACTCTCGAGCCAGGAAGTAACGCAGAGCAATGTGCTTCGTTCTGTGCTCCAGTCTGTGCTCCTCACACAAGGCAATGGCGGCCTTGTTGTCAACGTACAGCACTGGAGGAGAACGAGGCTGCTCTCCCAAGTCAGTCAGCAGGTAGGTGAGCCAGCGTAACTCCTGTGCAGCCATGGCAGTGGCGTAGATCTCAGCCTCACAACTGGAGCCGAGAACTGAAGACGAGCGTGTAGAACGCCACGAAACTGAACCAGAGCCAAGGCTGAAGGTGTAACCCTGTGACGACCGCTGAGTAGCCAGGTCGTCAACCCAAGAAGCGTCTGAGTGCCCAGTGAGGACAACTGGGCTCGTCCCTCCAAGCACTAGCCCCATGCCTGATGTGCTGCACAAGTAGCGCAGTACCCTCTTAGCAGCAGCCATGTGCTCAGGTCGGTGTCGACCAGGAGCCACGTAGCGAGCGAGGAGACCAAGAGGGTACGCGAGGTCAGGTCGAGTGCAAGTCATCAGGTACATGAGGCAGCCGACTAGCTCTGGGTAAGGACCACTCGGCTCTACGGACTCGTCCGAAGGTGGAGCTGAGAGCGTGTGACCTGTAGCCAGAGGAGTGGCCTGTGCTGAAGACCAGGTGAAGCCGAAGCGCTGAAGGACCTGCTGCACCATGTGTGACTGAGTCAAGGTGATGGTGCGGCGTGCTCTGTCCCGGGTGATCTGCAAGCCAAGGTAGCTGCGCAGCTCACCCAAGTCAGTGCACGTGTGTCTCTTCTGTAGCTCCGACTTCACGTGGGCGAGAGCCTCAGTGTCAGCAGTGGCAAAAACCAAGTCGTCGACGTACACGAGGATGTAGAACGGCGGCAGTGAAGTGTCTGTGCGCAGAAACAGCGACGGGTCAGCAGTAGAAGGCGCAAACCCAAGAGCCGCAAGTGTCGTCCTCAGTGTGTCGTGCCACTCACGTGGCGCCTGGCGGAGACCGTAGACTGGCCGTCGGAGGCTCCACTGGGTGCCAGGAGGGAACGACCCAGTGAAGCCCGGGGGGCGGCGCAGCCAGATCTCCTCGTGCAGGCTGCCCTGTAAGAAAGCTGTGCTGAAGTCAAGAGAGTGAAGCTCGTAGTCACGGTGAGCAGCAACGTGCAGCAGCACCCGAAGAGTGGTCATCTTCGGGGTGGGGGAGAAGGTCTGGAAGAAGTCAACTCCCTCTCGCTGACTGAAGCCTCGAGCCACGTAACGCGCCTTGAAGACAGGCGGAGAACCCGGCGGCCGCTTCACCCTGAAAATCCACATGCCACTGACGATGTTCGCCCCAGGTGGGGGAACCTCGTCGACATAGGTGCCTGTTGTTGGAGTAGGCTAGAGCTCGCTCTGGCCTTTATTTTGGTGTTCTTATATTGTTATTTCTCTGGGCTTAGAGCGAGTTACGCACTCAGGTTCATTTTAGGTTCATTTCATAATTGTTAGAACAAACCGAACACACCCTAGGTTCAATTAGGGTTTCCAACCCTCTCTCTTTTGTATCTCGACATTCTCCTCCTAGTTCAACTTCTTCAACCTCACCAAAGCCTCTCGCCATCCATGGCTTTCCTTACTTTAACATGGTATTCAGAGCCTAGTCCTAGGCGTTTCCGTTTTATCCGCATCTCTTAGAAAGTTTCTGGCCCTTAGGCCATTTCCGCGCTACTTAGCTAGACGATTTTCCTTTTTTTTTTATTTTCTCGTTTCTTTACAGTCACTCTTAGTATCCTCGCGATTTTCTTCACTTTAGTCACGCGGATACTCAATTCCGCTCCGTAGCGCGCCTCCCTCCCGTTCATATCGCTCCCCCGCGCCTTCCCTCTTCGTCGCGCCTCTTCCTCTTCACGTTCCCGGTGGTAGCGCGCCGATTTCTGCTTGTAGCGCGCTTAGCCCCCCCCCCCCCCGGCTCCGCGCCTTCTCCCGTCTCGTCGCGTGCGCATTGTGCTGCCGTCGCAGCGCGCGCTTCGCTTCGTCGAGCAGCGCGCGCGCCTGCCTCCCCTGCGGCGCGCCCTGCCCTTTCACAATCCGCCCTCCCTCCCTTACCCTCCTCCTCCTTTCCTCTCTCCTTTGTGCATCCCTCACTATCTCACCCGTTTTCCTCCACCTCTTTTCTCTCCTCATCTGCTGCAGCTGGTGTTGATTGCGCTTTTTTTTTTAAGTTGGTACTCCTCCCCACCTTTCCTCCTCCTCACTACCCTCCCCTCAACTGCTCAACTGCGAACTCCCTCACAACTCTCCCTCCTCCTCTTATTTCTCCCTTCACCGGCCCAGCAGCAGACTACCTCGCCGCTATCCCTCCTCCTCTAGTTTCTCCCCTCAGCGGCGCAGCAGCAGACTACCTCGCCACTATCCCTCCTCCTCTAGTTTCTCCCCTCAGCGGCGCAGCAGCAGACTACTCCCCCACTATTCCTCCTCCTCTTGTTTCTCCCCTCAGCGGCTCAGCAGCAGACTACTCCGTCCATATCCCTCCTCCTCTTGTTTTCTCCCCTCAGCGGCTCAGCAGCAGACTGCTTCGCCCCTTATTCCTCCGCCTCTTATACCTCTCCCCTCATCTGCTCTGCAGCTGTCTCCTCCTCCTTATGGCGACTTCTCTCGCCCTCCCCTCCCTCCCTCTGCTGGTCCTTCAGCTCGCGCCTGATGGCAGCGCAGTCAACTTCCCCAGTTGGCTGAACTGTCTTGAGCGCACGCTGTCTGGCACCCTCGTGAGTGGCTTTAACCTCTGGTTTGTCACTCAGCAGAGTGGCTCTGGCGCCATTCCTAAACCTGCCTCTACACCTACCTCTACCTCCTCCGATCCCTATGCTGATGGCCTTCGTGCTGCTATCGCTGAAACTGAGCGGATTGCGGCCACGGCCCAAACCACTGCCGCGGCTGCTCCTGACAATGCTGCTGCCCGTGACCTCGCTCGTGTTCTTTCTGAATCCCTCGAGAGCACCCGCAAGCGCCTCTCTGAGCATCTCGCTACCCCTTCTCCTCGCTCTGCCCCTCTGCCCTCTGCTTCTGCTCCATCTCACTCTGACCTTCTCGCTGACTGGCATGTTGCCAACGCACGTGCCTGCCAGGTCATCCTTGCCTGCCTACCTCCAACCCTTCTCCCTCAGTGCTCGCACATCCGCTATGCCAAGGACCTTCTCGGCTATCTTACTGAGCGCTTCCAGTCGCAGACTCCCATCAGTGTCATTGCCCTCTTACGCGAGCTCACTTCTCTTCGCCTTGCTGACTTCACCACCATGGCGGACTATATCGCTCGTGTGCAGACGCTGTCCTCCCAACTTGCTGCTCAAAAGTTCGAACTTTCCGATCATGTCTGCGGTGCCCTCCTCCTCACAGGCCTCACTCCTGAATACAGTGTTCATGTCACCCTGTATGGTGAGCGCCCCGCCGACCAGTGGTCGTTCTCTCGTGTCTCTGCCTTCCTCCTCCAGGCAGAGCTCAACCTCCGCAGCTGCCCTCCTACTGCCGCCGCTGTCGCACCCTCTTCCGCCCCCCCTCCTCTCCCCACCACCACTGCCGCTGCCGCTTCCTCTCGCCCTCGCAACACCTTTCCTCCTTGCACCTACATCATTCGTCAGGGGCCCCGCAAGGGTCAGCCCTGCGGTCGCACCAATCATCCCGCCACCTCCTGCTTCCAGAAACTCACCGATGACTGGTTCCTGGCTGGCAACACTGGTCGCCCTCCCAACTGGCTTCAACTCTCTCGTCAGCGTCGCCAGTCTTCTGCCCAGGCGGTACTTGTGGCCGCCGACTCTGGTGCCAGTACTCAAACCTCTGCTCTCAGTGTGACTATGCCTAGTCAGGATAGCATTCTGGGGGCTTCTCCCCTTATGGACCCTCGTTTTGCCATGATGTTTGCTCCTTCTGTTAATGGCAATGATTCTCAGTATCTTGGTCCCACAGCTGCTGCTCTTTCCCTCCCTCGCACGCTTGAGTTTGTTCTTGACAGTGGTGCTACTGACTCTGTTTTTCGTGACGCTGGTGTGCTTCGCTCTTTTCCCCATCCCCTCTCCATTCAAGGGGCTGGGGATACCATGACCATGACTTGCACTGCTACCTCCTCTCTCCCCTGTCCTGCCTCCCCCTCTGGTGCTGTGACTGGCCTCTATGTTCCTTCTTGCCGCCACAACCTTCTTTCTCTCTCTGCTCTTCAA